TTGAACACCGATAGTTTCCTTAAGAATTCGCAAGAGCGCGAACGCCAGCTGTTCTGGAAAACCCTTTTTGCGAAATCATGGTTTCATATGTGTTTGTAATGTTTTATATTGAACTCTGTACGAAACCCCATGTTTTTGAAGGGTTTCGGCAGGCGCGCGCGACGACGCGCGCGTGTGCACTTCGTTCTATGGTTTGCAAACTGTTGCTTTTTTACAAACGAGCGCGCGCGCATAGCATTTGCTGCAATGGATGAAGGGGGGGCGCCGGACTCTGGCCTGGCTGGGATGAGATCATCGGGGAAATGATGAAGGAGGCAGAATCAGATATAAATTCTTGACGCTTCGCGTACCCCCACCAGCCGGCCAGTTTGAGTCGCGCCCGGCTGCGAATTAGGTTTGCCCGTCGGCCCGGACGACTTCTCTCGCCGCCTGCGCGCTCGCTGGTGGCCGCGACCAAAACAATATCCCCACCAGCCCATCTAGAATTGATTGCCCGTTTTCTTGAGGCCTCTTTGGAGGCTATCTTGAGCCATGCTCGGCTAGAGGCTGCTGGAGGCTATCTTGAGCCATGCTCGGCTATCTTAGGCCATGTTGAGGCTGCCTTGAGGCCTCTTGGTGGTCTGTCGGGGGCTATCTTGAGCCATGCTTGGCTATATTGGGCCATTTTGAAAACCAGATTTGCCTATCTAGGGTTCTCTTGGAGCCATATTGGGCCAAACAGGGCGGGGTGGAGGGTCTTTTGGAAGAGGCTGGGAGGACTCTTGGGGTCATCTTGGGCCCCATGGCTCAAAAAGAGGAGGTCCCTCAATTAGCATCGCCCCCTCGGAGGCTCTCAAACGGCATCTTGGGGCCCTCTTGGAGCGCTCTTGGGCGATTTTGGGGCCGTCTTCGGCCTTCTTGGGCCCCTCTTGGGCCTTTTTGGGGGCCATCTTGGGGCCATCTTGAGGCTTCCAAAGCCCATCGGAAGCGAAAAGGCGATAATGCCAAAAACAATAATTGTCCCTAGGCTTTTGAAGGGTTTGGGCATCTTGGAGGACGCCGTGGAGGGCGCGGAGGGCACTTGGATCCGTCTTGGGGCTGTTTTGGGGCCTCTTGGGGGTATGTCGGAGGCTATATTGACCTATCTTGAAGTAGCATGGGCCATCTTGGAGGCCATCTTGCGACTTTGAAGTCCTCTTGGAGCCTTCTTGGGCAATTTTGGACGCTGCGGCGCCTCCGCCTCCCCCCCTCCCAGGCCCAGGGGAGGGGGTAGGGGGAGGGGAAGAGAGAAAAACAAAACGCGTTATACCACCTAAGCCCAGAGGGCTGGTGGGATTGCAATGCGCGATGCGGCCTTCATAAGTCCGGGGGGGGGGATGGGGGTAGAATCTAATGTCCTTGAAGAAAGGAGCATTCACAAATGTTCGCAGTGAGTTGTCAACCCCACTGCTCGAGCAATCATCTCACCCACCCACCCACAACTTGGCTTGCAAACCCCATGCGGCGGCGATTGCGATGAGTGCTTGCCGTTGGCTGATACATCTCTGCGGCCGCGCTGGACCGCGCATGCTCGCAAGGCAGCGGCCAGCTAATGCGACGCGACCGACGCGGCCGCGGTGGCGCTGATCTCTGGGCACGTCCAGCGGGCACTTCAGTGCGAGTCGGTGACTTGGGCGGGCGCGGTACCATGGCGACGCCGACAACGGTTGACACGATGATGAGAGCAACGATGATGGTGACGATGGTGGCGATGACGACGGCAAGGCCAATGACGGCGCGATGTTGATCACGCCCGCCGATACCAATGACGATGTCCTCGCGTCGGAGATGAATTGTTCTGCAAGGAGTTTGACATGCGCGCGCGGCCGACGCGCGCGAGCGGCCCGCGTGCTATTATTTGATACGGGTCGTGCCGCCCCCCCCCCCCCCCCCAGCATGCGCGCAAGGGCGCCCAGATGAGTTCGACATGCGGCGCGGTAGGCCTGCTTGGCACATTCAGATAATGTGGGAAAACATATGGTTTCTGAGACTCCGCAACAGCGCGCGCAGAGCTTTATTTGACAACTGGCGTTGCGAAGCCATGTGCTTTTATATATGTATTCGTGATTCTCGCGTTTGAAAGCCATGCGAAACATCTTCGGTGTTTCGAAGGATTCCGCCATGCGCGCGACGACGACGCGCGCGTGCGCACTTCGTCCCGTTTGTTGCAAGAGGTTCTTGCGACAGAACGCGCGCAAGCGCGTCCGATCGATATCGACATGCGCGCGCGAAAAGGCCCGTTCGGCAGCATGTGATGAAAAAAAGGTTGAGCAACTTTCGTTTGTTCGATAACTTTTTGAATCTGCAAGAGCGCATGCGCAAGCTGGTTTGGACCCCCCCGAAGTGAAACCATGTGTTTAATTTGTTTTGGGGGCAGCAGATGCTGAAATCCCACGGCACCTAAGGTTTGTTTTGAAAAATTCTGGCACACGCGCGCGACGACGCGTGCCTGTGCACGTCGCCCCCTTATTTTTGTGTACGGGATTGAAAACTGATGATCGTTGAAAAATAACGAGTGCGCACGCATAGCTTTTTTGGCAGAGGAGAAGGGGGGGTTGATACCAGCCTGGCAGGGATGGTGCGAATCCATATTCAGATCGGCGATGGGGCAAGACCATGTGCAAACTGTATGTTCGAAAGGAGGATATATGGTGTGCATTCTATTCGGTGCAATCTGTCCTGTTCAAATCCACGTGGTGCAGTCGACGTGGTGCAAACTGTGTTCTGCAAACAATATTGCGCAGTCGACGTGGTGCAACTCATGCGGTGCAAACTCTCGTGGTGCACTGTGGGGTGCAATCTGCGCTGTGCGGTCACGAGGTGGCGACGGGGCCGCGGCGGCGGCCACGTAGCCGCCAGACCGAAGACACGGCCCACGCGACGGGCGGCGACGAGGCGGCGACGGAGAGCGGCGACGGCGGCCACATAGCCGCCAGACCGAAGACACTGCCCCGTTTTTTAGAACAGGAGTAAAACATCCCAACTTCAAGCATTGCGTGGGGAAGTGAAGCTTTGTATATAGTACGGGTGTTGGCGAACATACCGATCGATTGAAATCAAAGTGGAGTTGTTGCGGCCAGCGTTTTGGAGGAACCCACACAGGTTGGCCAAACCTGGGGCCTTGGAGATCTCGAGACCCGGAGGGGCCCCAGCCCCTCGTTGTCCGTGGTCTCGCCCCTGCGAGCAGCGTCGAAATCGATAATTTAGGATCGCCATTATATCCCGCTGCACGGCTACAGACTCACAAAGGTATTCTTGTGTTTGTAACATACATACACGTGAATGCATGTATGCATGTAAATGTATACACCAGGAATGTGTTTCACCATCATCTTGCTCCAGTTCCTATTGCTCCCCTTTGTACCCACCGCTGCTCGCGGACTGTGCCAGGGGTCCGCGCCCCTGACACGCAGATCGCTTGGCGCCCATTACCGCGATTCGAGTGGACCTAGAGGTTGACACCAACATCGATATGGGTGGTCGCCTTCACCGAGGAAAGGAGACCCCATATCTCGAAGGTGGTAATGACGCAGGCTTTTGTTTGTGCCCTGAGTGTTGCCACCAACTCCAAGATCGGGAGTCCTTTCCCTTGGATGCGTGCCAACTTCTAGGCATCCGATCCTTACCTCCTCTAGTCCCTCGCGTTCCCTCGCCCTCGGAGTCGGTCCATTCCTGTTGCCCTGAGCACTGCGTCCTCATGAACGGCCGTGCTGGAGGCGTTGCGACGCGGGCTTAAGCGAAGGACCGTGCAGATCGGAATGCACAAAACGCCAAATGAAGACCCGGCTCTATGCCCAGGTTACGCGTCGTGCCGCCAGCTCCCAGCGGGCTATGCTGCCCAGCGAGGAAGAGGGCGCGAGGAAGAGAGGGAGAGACGACGACCGCGCAGGCGGGAGGCCAGGGCAACCGGGGTAAGGCAGGTGAGTGGGCAGGCGGCCCACAACCGCTGACGGCGGCGATCATGTTGGCACCAGAGGGCAGCCGATCCCAAAGTCGACATCTGCCCATGCAGCTTGTGCGAGACTCTGTGCCAGGTTTTCTCGCGCACAAGGTTCTGAAGCGGGCCAGCGAAAGCCCAGACTGCTGTCACATGACGGAGTCGGTCAGGTCCGGTCCGTTCCCCCTTTCATGAGCAGGAGTTTTGATCGGCCGACATTTTGTCGGTGACGCGGAAGATTTGGAAGGAAGGGGTTGTTATTAGGGGTTGCATTCGGTAAGCGAGCTTGCGTTGAGCAGGCCATGCTATTTCTTATTGAAATAAAGACAGGAGCGGGGACTGCGTCAGAGATGCATGAAGAGATGCCGCGAGGCTCACAACGACGTCAGCGCGATATTTTTTACTGGCGCTGTATTCTTCGGGAGGGGAGGGGTAAGTTTGTTCGGCAGTGCGTCGTAATGAAGTGGGTGTTGATATCGCGCTACAGCAGCGGAGTGGTTGCCAAGTCCGTGGTCGACGCTTCCCCATTGCATCCCCAGGCTATTTTGTATTTGCGCGGCTTGTGAACGCATGCGTAGCAACACTTATATATCTTTGCCGACCGAGACCAGGTCAGAGTAGCTAAACAGGTAAGTTGGGACGCGGCTGACCATGTTTCTGCGTGAGCTCGAGCTGGGTTTTTGAAGTGCTAAGACATGATACGTAGAACATCGTGTGCACACTTTGGATCAGCACGCCCCTGGAATATGTATAGAAGCATTTGCAGCCCTGACACATACATCATGTTGTCACTTGGCCATGTCACAGATGATGTAATGAAGAAATGCGGGATGCACGGCACCCCGAAGTACACACAGTCATTGATCTCGCGTCAGAGTTGAACAAGTCCACGTCTGCTGTGTAGGAGTGATGCTGCATAGTATGCGTATGAATACGTTCGACGGTGTTCGAGTTGTCGGCAGCGCGTGGATCATTGTAGACATGGGTGCGCAGGGCACGCGTCTGGTTGTTTACCTTGCATTTGTTGGTGTACTCCCGCAACGGCATGGGTCACGGCCTCAGCAGCAGCTACTTGTTGCGTTGGACTGCAATGCTAACGTGGGTGGTCCTATGGTGCAGATTTGAATTGCTTCGCGAATCCACTATGAACATGATTGGCTACGCCTGCAGCGAACCATCGCTGCCCCGCGCCGCCTGTGGAAGCGCAGGGCATGTCTGGCCGCACGCATGGCGACCCCGCCTCATTTCGGCACACCCTTCGCGCGCTCCGTGGACCCAGAAGGAGATGTACCGAAGGCGACACTCACAACGGCTGCTCTCGCAACTGCAAATGGTTGGGTCCTTCGCCGGGCTGCTTTGTTTTGCCCCCCGCACCCCGCCCGGTTAACGATAAGTTCATGTCTCATTGTTTGTTTGTTGGGGGGGGCTCCTCCCAAAGCTGTCCTGGCCCCCTTTCAAAGGACATCCGTCAGTAGGCGGTTTACAAATTGATTCCCTGTGTTCGGATTGTAAGCGAAATTTTGTTGTGCGGCTTTACAGTAGGATTCCCTGTGTAGGCGATTTACGGATTGATTGTCTTTGCGTGGATTGCAAATAGAGTTTTGTTGTCTGATTTTGCTTGGGGTTTCTTTCGTGAGCGATTTACACATTGATATGCACTGCCTAGATGACAAATGTGCTTTGTGTGGCTGTAGAACCAGGTCCTTTTGTTGCTGATTTACATATTTAGTTGTTGGTGATTTACATATTGATTTCTAGTGTACAACTTGGATGGCGCTACACTGTTGTAGCGGTCGTTAGACACGATCAGCCAGAACAGCACGCGAAGGAACACACAACGAAGTAACAAAGCAAATCAACACAACAAAACACGGGAACGCCGAGACAGACGATCGCCCCCTCGGAAGCCTCTTCAGCGTTCGCGCGGCCATCTTGGTTGCACCTGGGGCCGTCCCGGGCCGACGGCAAGCCGAAAATGAGCAAACGCCAAAGTTCGTCAAATGCCTAAGGACAATTAGTGGTCTGGGCCTCTTCGGGCTGTCCTGAGGTCCTCTTCGAGGCCTCTTGGGCTCTCTTGGAGGCCTTCTGGGCCGTCCTGGGCGATCGTAAGGCCATCTTTGGGGGCATCTTGGCCCGTCTTGGAAACACCGTGGGTTCATCTGAGGCTCTCTTAGGGCCATCGCCGCCGTCTTGAAGGCCATCTTGGGGCCATCTTGGGGGGGTACCCCTGGAGAAAGATATATTAGCTGGGCGTTCCGCGCGGTCGGCGGGTTGGGCCGAGGCTCAATTGGAAGGTCCTTCGAAAGAACCAAAACACCCAGGCATCCAACACGCCGTGCATCCTTGTGATAAACAACCACCAGGGAGCAACGGATCGAAGACGCATACGGCGACTCACCGCGGCCACCTGCCTTTTGCCCGCGCCCACGCAGCCAAAGTTGGGCCGAAGTCTGGTGAAGTTGTTGGAATATGTGTTCCCCCAGCCGTGTGGAACCCCTGCGGGGGGAACACTTAGGAGAGTAAGAGAGAGGAGGAGGAGAGGGATGAAAAGGAGGACGAGGAGGAGGAGGAGGAGGAGGAGCAGGAGGAGCAGGAGGAGGAGGAATAGGAGGCCTCCTGAAGCCCTCCTGGGGCCTCCTGGGGTTTCCTGAGAGCCTCGTGGGTGCCTCCTGGGCCCTCTTAAGGGGGCCTCCTGGGGCCTCTCCGGCGTCTCTGATGGACCTGTTGGCCTTCGGATGCCGCGGGGCCCTCTCTGGGCAGTCGTGGGTCCCTCTTTGGGCGCGTGAGGGCCGTCGTGAAGGTTTGTTGGGCCGTCTTGGGGGCCTCTTGGGGGCCTTTTGGGCCCTCCTGCGGCCGTTTTGCGGGCCCCTTTGGGGGGTCTCGTGAGCCGTTTTGGGGCGATCTTGGAGGCCTGTGGAACCGGCTTGGACGTCTGGAGAGCTCGACAAGGCGAGAATGATAAAACCATTGCAACATTTTAGGGCGTCGATGATTTTGGCCTCCTGGAGGTCCTTTTGGAGCCTTTTCGGGGCGTCTTGAAAGCTTCCTGGGCCGTCTGGAGGGCATCTTGGGCCGTCTTAGGGCTGGCTTGGAGGCGTGGCGGGACCATCTTGGCCTCTCTTGGGGCGATACTGGTTGTTTTGGGGGCATATTGAAGGCCATCTTGGAACAAACTTGACGTTCTTGGAGGCGGGTTTTCTGGCATGTCCCTTCCTTGCGCGTTTTTGCGCGTCCGTCCGGGTGGTTGGCGCATTCGGCCGGATATCTACAGCGAGGTTTAAGGTGGGGCTGTATAGCGAAGGCTGTATCCGCCGCAGTCTTGGCTCAAGGCAACGCAGCCCTCATTTGCTAGTTACACGACAGCGTGACTCGATCCAGTTCATTGTATCAGACAAAGGCCACGTCTATCAATGACCCACGTATACCTCTCATGTACTGTCTCTTGTCTCTCCTTTTTGCTTGCTATCCAGGGATGAGTTGTGGGATGCCTCGATACGTCGCCGATGTTATCCTAAGAGTCGGGTCCTCAGCTTCTACCTCATGGTGAAGCTTTTAACACTTACTTCCCACTTGGTCGCGGAGCGGGCCACATCTTTATGTGGTTGGTTCTTACATCAGGTGTTCTGTACATAACAACTTACCAAGGCACAGAGTATTACCCAACTGCGCCGGCGATCAGCCACTACACCCCAAGTACTCTTCAACCAATTGGTAACATACAGTCCTATACCCCCATCTCCCCACCGCGTGGCCGCAAGCCACGCACGAACCAAACACTTATACCCACCTGCAAGCTGACGGCCACGTCAAACCACCAGACACCCAGTCGCAACCCTACCGGCGCGACGAACATCAACGATACAAAACCTGACATCACCAGCTACAGCATGACCATGCATTATGTCATGGTTGATATATTTGGAGTTCTATTGGCGTGCCTAGATCTTGCCATGGCATACATGCGAGGAGGAGGATTGGATGAAACACGCACTCGGGGTCACTCCTGGTGTCCCGCAGGCAGTGTACCCTTCCGCGGCTTTGTTCGCGAAGTTCACGCATGGTTCAACGTCGCGAGCGGAAGTGCGACTCCACCCCAGCAGGCCGCGGCAAATTCAACGCGGCCTACAGAGCCGAGCCAGGACACTAACTATGAGGGCGCCGTCCGCCATCATCAACAATGGTGTCACCTTCCAGGGTAGACGCACCGCCTGAGTCACGCACAGCATGCACCTACTAAGCACCAAGTTTGAAAACCTTGAGGACGAGCGACAGCTCACCGGGGACAGCCCCCACTGACTTCAGGGTCGATAGGGGCGAACGCATCGATTCAGTACTGACGCGATTCGAGATGGCCATGCTGGGAGCAGATTCAGCGGGCTTCAACGTGCCCAACTTTCAGATCCTTACACTGGTTTTATTTCGCGCCACGGGAACGGGCACCTCCAGAGCAGTACGGCCGTCGCAACGGCTGAGCCACCAGATGCCACGTTCCCATCAACCATGCGACCAATTCCTGAGGCGATTGCGCAGCCGCGGACACTTGGCTGAGCGTTCCCCATCTTCAGCGGAAGCAGCGCTGGCACCTACCATGCCGAAGTAAGCGAAACACCAGCAGCCATGCCGAATAGCATCTGGAACGACAGAGAGCCCATTGAATCCATGACTTTTCTAAGCCAAAAGCCAAGAAGCCAACGACGCACAGGCTTCTGGCTCTAAGATTGGCTGTCCATCGGCCGCCTGTTATACGCCGCCTGACGCGACCGCCCTCCGGGCACGACGGCGCCTTCGATTCCGGCGCGGACGCCGATGCGGTCTCCTCTACCTGTGTTGAAATCTCGATTGGTCAGATCTACCCAGCGGTGACGATGCAGCAGCGCAGTATTCGCACCTAGGACATCGCCATGCCAAAGGCAGGCGGAGGCGCCATGCGAAGAAACCGGTCAGGAGATTCAGGCGAGCTGCACGTCGCGTCTTTTTCCGCAAGGGCAAAGGCCGCGGCTGAGGTGGTAGGCGCGCCCGCAAATTGCACGGCAAAGGCATAACCACGTTCGCGGCCCAATTGACAGACCACGACTTCGAGGGCTTGTTTCTCGGACGTAGGCAGAGGCAAATACCGCGGGCATGCCGCAGGTGAGGGCAGGGGGCGCAGGCTCAACCCAATGGACAAAAACCGCAAACGCACGACATGCAATGCCCGCGGAAGCAGTTAACATGTCCAGGAACAACGCCCTAAGGGAGGCGGGAAGGGGGATGGATCCGCTTGGCTCAGATCAATCCGAAGCGGATGTCCTTGAGTGCGTCGATTTTCCCGAAATCGATCCCCCTCCCGCGCCCGATCAAGCCCTCTTGGTTTGCGATGGCTCACTTCGCCGAGGCTGCCGCGCCAGGCGAGCGCTACGCCGGGCGCCTGCGCGACGGGATCGAGGAGCTGTTCGACGCGCCCGTCGCGGACTGGACGGGCGCGCGCGGACACGCGCGCTACGATTCGGACGACGACGGCGACGACGGCGACGACGTCGACTGCGCGTCCGAAGCGGACCCCACCCGCCCCAAACCCCAACGGCGCCTGGCATCGCGGGGGGGGGGGGGGGGGGGGCGGAGCAGGACAGGCCCGCGCCGACATGTTTACAAGGTGGGGCAAGCCAGGAAAAGCACGCATCGGGCGGGGCGCCCACTGCACATGCGACAAAGGAAGCAGTCGCCGAGGCCGCGGCGCCACTGCCCGCGCCGCAGCAGGAGCAAAGCCGGCAAACAAAGCCCTGGCACGGGCGGCCCTGGTCGAGGCCGCAGTCGCTCACGCGCGGCGGGCCCTCGGGAGGGAAAGGGCCACGCTCAGTCCGCGGAGCCGACGCGCGGCGCAAGCTCCGGCGAGTCGGGCCCGGGAGGGGGGCGCTCGCCCCCAGGGGCGGGGCGCGCCTCCCTCTCTCGCGACGAATGGGGCCCTCGCGCGGAGATGGGCGACGCAGACGTGGAATGCTACTTCGAACAGGGCCACACATAATTGCAGATTTGCTATTGGCGGTCTTTGACACGAGCTACTCGTGACGAT